AAGATACACTTTAAATTTGAAGTCACAACCTGTAAGTAGAAGATAAATGAGTAAAAGATACACTAAGCAAACAGCAGGCATGAGAAACTTGGTGCGGCTCTCTTAATATCAAAGTAAACACATGACAAGTAATATCAGAGCTAAGGAGGAATGTTTCATAATGATCACGGGGCCAAGTGATCAACATACAAATTATTAATTCATACATGTGTAGTAAGAGATTGTAAATACATGCGGTGAAACTGGCAGGACTAGAGGGAGATAAGAATCATCATCAAAGACATTTCAAAAATTTAAAATTTAATGAAAATAGAAGATATATGGAACAGTACCATCAACTCATTCACTTGGCACTAATAGGATACTACTGTCAACAACTTCAAAATACAGATTCTTTTCAAGAATATATAGAATGGCTACAAAGGTAGAATATTTGCCATACACTGGACCAGAAGCTTGTGATCACAGCTCTATGAAACATACAGCTTTAAAGAAGAAATACCATCTGGCGCAATTTCAGAAACTACGAGAGGGCGAAGCATCTTTCAGTTTATTTGATGAGACCATCATAATTTGTTTACCAAAATTGGACAACAACATTATACGAAATGAAAATTATATCACGGTCCTACTGGATACAGGCGGGAAATTCGTTTACCATCGACTCACAGATTAAATTCAGCAGCAGTCAAATCCACGGTCAGGAGAATCTTTAATGCTTTTCATCAATATTAAAAAGTTCTCGGAATTCAGCCTTTGAACATTGCCTCTGCCTCATCCTCACTGTCTGGCTGATGTGAGAATCTTATACTCCTGAAAAGCCTGGGACATCGGGAACCACCCAGGGAAGTCACTGCAGCTCTTAGGTTACAAGGTCAGGAGAAATACACAGTGGTAGTGCTATCAAGCCAGTGCAGATTGAAGCTGGCATTCCCCACCACGATCAACAAGTTTAGGATTTTCAATTTATTACTTTTATAACTTCTTTTCCAATTGTCCTATTATGTCTGATCACGGGGCATAAATTTTCCTGATTATTTTATCTGGGGACTTTACCTCTGGCTATGTCTTCCTATGATGTACGGTCAGTCTGCCTCATTCTGGTTCGCAAGGCGATTTTCTTTGGAATCCTGCCTAAGAAGTTACCTGAGTCCATCCCCAGAGGAATCCTGGACGTCTAAACTACATGAGAGTGCACATTTGGACACACACTTAACCTGGTACACAGCTGGGGTTTCAAATGTGCCTTTGGCTTACCCTTTTCCTATCCAGAGTCTAAGCAGAAAACATACTTCCGCTGGCGTACAGTTGCGTTTACCTGGTTCTTTAGATAAAAGGGGAAGTTCTTCCAAGCTCTAGACTTGTGTAAATATCTCGTCTTTTGTAGGTCAAGTCCTGCTGCCTCATTGGGGTGTTAAAATTCTAGACTTGCATCCTAGGCTCCACATATTTGGGCTGCCTCTTCTGAAGACTATGGTAGCAATACGCCCTCCGAACAACAGTTTCGCATTTGTTCTTGGTCCCTGTCTCTCTATACACTCAGAAATGCGTCCATCTTTGGTTACATCTTCTTTACCATTCCTTAGTGCTGGGAATGGGCTTGAGGGAGGTTGGAGCCTGGAGCTCCCTGCCCTGTCCCCCACATCAGTGCTGCTCCTAGAATAATTTACTGCTTCACTTTACAGGTGAAAAAAAAAAAAATCAAAGGCCCAGAAAGAGGACTGAACACAGCCAAATCCACAGACCTGCTTGCTGGTACGGTGGAGATGGAATTGTGTCTTTTCCACGCTGACCTGGGCTGGGAACTGTGAACCAAGTGGGGGAACTGCGCTCACTAGTCCTTCAGGGGCCGGGAACGCACAGGCCACACCGAGGCTTCCCGTCTGTTGTCAGGTCCGCACATTTCTGATATTATGGGGGATGGGAAGAGGGCGGAACAGCCGTAAGGAAGAAATTCTGATTCCAAAATGTGGTCCCACTGGCACACTGAGGAACCGGACTTCCCTCTCCTGTGGGGAGCGGGGCTCCTCGGCCTGGGCAGAGGGGAGCAGAGTGCCCCGCAGACGTGCTGTTCCATGGAGAATCTTCTGCACTTCCTCTGTGATTCTTTTTTTCCCCTCGGAACCGGGGATTGATCTCAGGCCCCAGGGAAGTGCTTATTCCACTGAGCCATCTTCCCAGCCCGAACTTCCTCTATGGCTGCTGGGTTGCATTACCTTTCTGTAGCCCCGCTTCGCCAGCAGCTGATTCCTTGCAGCAGTCCCTTCACTGAGTGCCTATTTTGTGATGTCAGACTGGGGTGGGGCAGCTGGAGTGGACGGCCCTGGAGCCACAAGCCAAATCCTTAGGTTCAATAAGGCCTCTTTCCTGCTGTCCCAGGCCCCTGGTGGGACACCTGCTCTCCAACCCTGTTTCCTTGTCCCTGCTTGTATGAATGCTTCTTCCCAAAGAGTCAGTCTTCCTGCTTCTGGGCTCCTTACAGTCCTCAGCACTATACCAACGAGGGGTTTCTACAGCTACCAGTGAATCGGCCTGAATTCGGCTTCAGGATGCTTCTTGTGAGGCCGCTGCATCTCAACACTTCCAAATCAAATAACTGGGCTCAGCACCCGCTTCCTGCTGCTGGGGAACCTCCCAGCTCAGGCACTTTCTGGAGAGCCTTTCCCTAGTTCTCGTCTTAGCCCAGAAACGTGGGTGTCTGATCCACCAGAGTTGATTTGGGGAAGTTCAGGTAGTTGGGAGTCTGCGGAAGGCGGGCGACAGCGCCCCCTACGGCGATGCGAGGTCCTTGCCCGGCTTGGGCCCTTGTCTTCCCTCCCCACCTCTAATGCTTTCTCCCAGAGCTGTGGCGCCCTTGGGACCCCAAGGATCATCGCCCTTCAGGTTGTTCTGGCTGGAGTCTTGGCTGAACCGCTCCTTACTACAAACTAACTTGGGTTCAAAAAGGCCTAGATAAGATCATTCAGTTTGTTGGTTTACTTTTATCTGTGTTAAACACGTTTGCAGCACCTAAGGATGACGTCCCTGGTGGGGACTTGGGACAGGCACAGACAGGTCTTTGCTACCTCTGCCCCCTCGTCTTGGTAAGATCAAGTTCCGGCTTTTCGTTCAGCAAGAAGCTGGAGTTAACTTTTCGATTTTTGGAATCGAAAGAAAGAAAGTGGGACTCTGCCGAGAGAACCCCATCACACAAGTTCGCGGCGCCCACAGCCTGAGCCCAGCGTTTCCAGAACGGAGCTCGGAACCCAGCAGCCGACGGCCAGCCGAGCGTCGCCCCAAGGGCGCGGGCCTCGCAGGGTCCCGGAGCCTCTCGGCTCGGGCTGGTTGGCGTGCCGGGCTTTCTGCTGGCTCCGGCCAGGGAGGGGATCCGGAAGGACTGGGTGGCAGAACCATCCCGGCACCGCTTAGGCGGGCGCAGCAGGGAGCCGCCTGGGACC